CAAAATTTAAAGAGTTGTTCCAAAACAAATTTCAAGAAGTAATGAAAAAGTCACCTCCTTCAGAGGTGACTTTTGAAAGATTGAAATCTAAATCTCGGCAGTAGGTGTTGTTGTGAGGTGTGGATGAAACATGGCTGTACTGCATACTGTACGATTTTCTTTACATTTGCAGTTCAACATGTAATACGAAAAATCGTAACATGTGTAGGTCCGCTTTAAAGACATCTTATTATCATTTAGAACACATGAACATTTTCATAGTGTATGCTGATGAAACTTTCGTGACCACGGACAAAACAAATTATGAAGATATTGCTAATAAATAAACTAACTATTTCAACTGAATACATATGAGGTGATGTCAATGAGATAATTGTTTATGTAATAAAACATGTTCGTTTATAGAAAAAGAGAAATAGAGAGAAAATATTTTTATTGATTGAAAAAATACATTTCTTTTTACAAACATGTCTCTACAGATGCTACTTGAAACAAAAAATATACACAAACATTTATATATCACAAATCTATTTATATATAACCCTTACATGATATGTATATATGTTTCCAGTATATATGTATATATGTTTCCAGTATGGAAACAAACATTGATAAAATAATATTGTGGTTAAGAACGTATCAATTCTAAGGGTATGGATGTATGATGTGTGTCTATAACAGTGAACTTTAAAAAACAGCTTGAGCAGGTAAGGATGATTTACTCATTTCAATGATTTTCAAATACAAATTGAATTACACATATCTTCAGCAAAAGTTTAAAACATTACTAATGATGCATCAGATACAGAGTGGGCCAAATTGCACACTTTTAAAAAGAAACTCCTGTTTTCATACTGATATCTATCATCGTTACAGCATGTTTCTAGAAGTTGCTGTAACTTTTTTCCTGTCAAAATTTTTTTGTTTCTATGAAAAAATTTTCAAAGCACTTTTCACGTAGAATTCAATAGTGTAAAAAACTTATTTTTTGAAATGAGATGTCAATAGTTATTGATTGAAAACTATTTTTTCAATGAGACACCCCGTATATTCCTATATATTTCAATAGAGCTTAGAAATTATCTTTCCAGAAATGTAGTACACATGTTTTGCTAGAGTCATCTTTGAAGTACAGAGCTTTTGGTTTTTTTCATGTAGACTTTGAAATGCACATTTTGATCAAGTAGGCTTTGGACGATGCGGCGATAAAACAGAATGCAAATCTTTACTGGCAGCTGTCAAATTTTGATTCAAGCAGTGAAGACGCTCTTTAATTAGTGTGAAATATGAAAATTATTAAAAATGGTATATGATAGTCTGTTTTGTACAAACCGGGGAAAATGCAAAAGTAGCAAGCAATTTGTATTATGAAAGGTAACCAGAGACAAGACAACCTTTTATAGACATTTTCGAAAGATTGCAACACAACCTAATTGATGATGGTCAATTTGAAAAAAAAAAGGCCAGAATTATATGAATCAAATAGGGATAAGGAGTTGGAAGAAATAGACATTTAAGGAGCTGTTGGAAATAATCCCAAAACATCAACGGGAAATTTGAAAATATCAACAGGCCTACCAAAAACTAACGATAGGACGATTTTGAAAAAAAAATACAAATTCAAGCCATACAGGACCAGAAGAGTTCATCAACTCAGACCAGGTAATTTTGAAGCTAATGTGAGCTGGTATTTTCAACCACTACAATTATTATAATTGGGCACAACAAAATCCACATTCTATAGTTTCAAGAAAGTTTTCCGTTAATCGAAAAATCCATAAAGAAGATCCAATTTGGCAACTTGTCATATTAGACATTTTCTTAGAAATTAGATGAAAAAACATGGGAGCAAATAAAACCAAAGACTCCATAAAAAATCAATCAATGGATGACATATCTTCGAATGAATTCACGCAAGTGAATTATATTGATGACAATAAACAAAATACTTCCAATGATTTCGTAACTCTTTTGAAAGAAGAAATTGTGTTATTGAAAAAACTTCTGGACGAAGAAAATTCGGTGATTTAGAAAAAAAAATTATTGACAGAACAAAATATTTCTCTCCAACAAAATTATGATTTGATTATATCCCACACTGTTGATAAGGACAGTATTACAGGCAGTATAGAAAAATTCTCTCAGAATATCGAAATTATAAAAAAGGTTGTTTCAGCCAAGAATTAAACTAGTTATGCTCAAATCACCCAAAAAAGTATTATCCCATCACAACAACAACAGTATGAACAAACCATCTCAATAAAACGGAAGCAAGGGCAACAACCATGAACAAAAACGAAACAGGATTTGGAAAAGTGTATAAACATAAATAAACTTAACATTGGAATAAGCTCTCTTCAAAATATATAAAATGGTGCAATAGAAATTCAATGTAGAAATGAAGAAGAGAAGAACAGACTACAGGAAGAGATATTCAAAAAGTTATCAGATCAATATAAAAATGAAACAAAATCAAGTACTATGCTAAAAATAAAAATTCGTCATTTGAAATTGGAAAAAGTAACTGAAGAACAATTGAAGCAATTAATTCTTGACCAAAAGCAATTCATTAATGAAGAAGATCACTTCAATATTCAATTTATGAAATTTTTTGAAGAAAGGCAATTTTATACAATATATATTGAGACTGATGGTGAACTCTTCAAGAAAACGTTTGACCATAATAATGGAAAACTTTTTATTGGATGGCAATGTTTCAAAATTTATGAAAATAATAGTATAACACAGTGCAAAAAGTGCTACCGATTCCAACATAATCACCACAAATGTAGAAATGTTACTATTTGTCAGTGTTGCAGTGGAACACATGAATTGAAATTCTGCAACAATAATAGTGGGCCAAAATGTAATAACTGCCAGTATTCCAACAGCCACTTCAAAACAAAATATCCAGCTGAGCATTATGCCACAAGTAATAATTGCCCATGTATATATCCCATCAAAATCGTGTGAAATCTCAAATCGACTATGACTGAAAAACCTGTAATTCTTAATATTAAATACAATTCTCTAGCTGATTACGTAAGTGATGATGAAGAAAACCTCAAAATTCTACATATTTATATGTAGAATGGATCAGCTACAAGTGATATTTTCTGATTAAAAAGCAGATATAATCATAAAATCACAAACATGGATAAACAGAGCAGAAGAAAAATATTTCAATTTTCGAAATTATTTTTCGATACATTACTGCCGGGAGTCAAAAGGAGGTTTAAGGATTCTTATTAAAAAAGAATAAAATTAATACTTTTTTCAACTTTCTTGATAGTAAACTCCATTACTTGAATTCATCAAAAATGGAGTATGTAATATTTGGAGATTTCAACATAGATATCTTAAAGAATACTAGGGAGTCGAATAGATCCCAAGACATTTATTGTTCAAACCATTGCAATAAAACAATTCCTATGAGAGAAATCATTAAAAATAGTTTACTTTTTGATCATGTACTAATGAATACCTCCAAAACAATTAAAAAAATGGCTGCAATCGGATCCACCATTAGTGACCATCACTTACAAATCATGGACACAAATGACAGTAATTTACTAAGGCAAAAATAATATAGTTACAAAATTATAGAAATGTTCAAACTAGATGGTCTACAAACAAAATCGAAAGTTTTTTAATGACAATATACCACTGAATATTAATACTGATGAAGTATGTTCTCAGATGATTAATATTTTCAAGAATTGCAGTTTCACAAAAAGAATAAAGATATACAAAAAACAAAACCTTGGGTCAATAACAGCATCAAAAAGAAGATAAAATTAAAAGATAAGTATTTCTATAAAAATAAACAGTTTCCAGACAATAAAGATTATCATACGAAATATGATGAAAGCAATAAAGATGTTAAAAAGTCTATAAGAATGGCCAAAGCAGAATTCTATGTAGTAGATAATATGGTTTTCGCAGGTCACTTGACACAGAATCAGCTGTATTGGATATAGTTTCTAAAATGTAACTTCAATTAGATTCAAATAATGTTTGTGGTATGTTATCACTTGATTTGTGGAAGGCAACAGAAAGCAGTATACTTATAAACAGGGAAAAAGAGTTCATTGAAAACCATCAACTGTGGAGTTGAACAAGGTTCTGTTTTAGGTCCGACTCTATTCTTAATTTACATCAATTCTATTATAGAACTGAATTTATATGGTTCTATCAGTCCTTTTGCTGATGATATAACCCTCATATACTTTTCTAAAAATACCAATATTATTGAAAAATCATTTTTAGAAGACTTGAAACTAATATCTCTTTGGTTGGGACCTCATGAGTTAGTTACATTTGAATTTCGATAAATCTTGCTATACAATTATATCCAGAAAAAATTCAGATTACAAAAAGTTTTTTTCTTAATTTCAATAATAATTCAATAGAATTTAAGAAAGAAGTAAAAATTTTGGATGTATATCAAGATCAGAATTTATCTTGGAATTCACATATCAGTGAATATTATTCCTTTAAAATATTTGAAAACAATTCATTTTTCTTTAATTTATTCTAATCTTCAATACCTAACATCAGTTTGATCAACAGCTAATTCTTATCATTTGAAACCTTTACAACAGTTACAAAATAAAATCATAAAATGTATATATGAGCTGAATCAGAGAGAGATAGAGAGAGAGAACCAGCAATCTGTAAAAATCTAGAAAATTATTTGATAGGGGAATATACCATTTCAAATATGCAAGTACTATGTTTCGACGAAATCAATTCAATTCATGATTATAATACAGGGCAAATACAAAATATAGTTTCACAACCACACAGAAGTAAATTTGGTCAAAAATGTATTTTTTATGATGGAGTTAATTTATACAATAAAATACCTAACTATATAAAAAAATGAATTATTCGAAATTCAAAACACAACTAAAAGAATATATCTTGAGAAAGATTGACAGTTTTGTAGTTTCACATATTTTTGTTTTTTTGTTCATTTTTAGTTGTATGATTCTTAGTTTTTTCTTTTTTTTTCAATTTGTATGTTACAACATTGTCCCTACTATAAACATGTTATGTTTCTTGAAATTAATTCATTCATTCATTCATTTCTTCTGTTTTTTTCACTCATCAAAAAAAATTGTACTTTAAAAAAACTTTTTACTTCATATACTGATACAAACCAAGAAGCTGATAAAGTCAATTCTAAAATTAACTTTATATATTGATATAACTCAGAGGTTCATAAAACCCATCTTCGCCTTTAGAAGATATTTTTGAAAGATGAATGCAGTTAAAATTACACTGCCCAAATTCAAAGTTTTTATACTTTTCCATTATTTTTCGAGCATCAAAACTCTTTCTTTTTGTCCATTTTTTCTTAGGACTATTCAAATCTTTCCTGTACTTTGAATTCATTAAAGTCATGTGCAATTTAACATTTTCTTGGTGTCTCTTTAGGAGTCCTGGAAAACATAAAAAAATCAAAGATATGTTATCTTTAAAATTGAAAACACTAACCTCTTTCATAAAAAAAATCTGAGATAGCATTAGAGACTCTTTGCAAAGTAATATCTTCAGTTTCGTTTAAAAATTTTGCCTTTGCATAAAGAACATCAACTTTTTCATAATTATTGTTCATACATTCAATTCCAGATACCTGAATTTTCAAAGGTCCAGTTACATCTAATAATGGTCTGAAACATTTGAAAGTTTAAAAAAATCTTTACAAATTTTTTAACATACTTCATAATGGTTGTATTACAGTCTTCCAAAGCTTTGATAGCTTCATTTTTCTCTCTAGAATCCAACAGAACCATCACATTTATTGTAAGGTGTAATTTTAAATGACTCTGGAATATTGAATCTTCTATCCCATAAAGATCTTCTTCAGATAGAATTTCATTTTTAAACTTTTTGAAATTGGTTTGTATTTCATTGCTCAATAATGGTATTGAAATGAATTGTAATGCTACATTTCTGTCTCTAATCTGACCTACTGCAGAGTAAATTTCATTGATGGCCTCTATTATATTGAATTTAGTATCACCGCATATCATCAACTTTCCTTCTTGTGAGAGTTTTGGTACTGTAATGTTAGTGTTTGTCCTTTTTGACACAGAGTTTAAATCTAACAAGTCCTTTTGGTGTAATTTTATATAATATAAACTGGAAAATAAAAGAGTTTTCAGCAAATAAATCATAATGAA